TATATTGTCAATAACAAGTGGAGGCATGTTAATTGGCAGTTTATGTTTTTTAGTAAGAGGATGGAAAAGAATCCATTTAGTTTTATCAATGTTAAGGGATAGTTTGTTTGTCTTAAACCAGTCAGACATTTTGATTAACTCGATGTTCACGTTATTAAATAAAGTAGGAATGCTTTTGTGAGACATAAATAAATTAGTGTCATCAGCAAACATAATTGTTATTAAATTCGAGGCTTTGTATAGATCATTAATATAAATAAGGAAGAGAAGAGGTCCTAATATGGATCCTTGAGGAACTCCACATGTAATATTTAACAAATTTGATGAAAATTATTTATCAGCACAAACAAATTGTTTACGATTAGTTAAATAACTTTTCAACCATTTTAAAACATTGCCTATTATACCATAATATTCTAATTTTTTAATAAGAATTTTATGATCAATTGTATCAAACGCTTTTGCTAAATCAATAAATATTCCCAATGTAAATTTAGAATTGTTAAATGAGTCTGATATACTTATTGTAAGCTGAATAATTGCATGTTCTGTCGAATTATTTTTTTTGAATCCATATTGCATGTTATATAATAATTTATTTGTTAAAAGGTTATTGTATATTCTGCTGTACAAAATTCTTTCTAAAATTTTAGAAAAAACATAGAGGATGGAAATTGGACGATAGTGTTTTACATTAGTTTTTTCTCCTTCTTTAAATATAGGAATAATTTTTACTATTTTTAAATCATCAGGAAAAACTCCCTGATTAATAGAGCATTTAAAAATTTGGAAAAGTATGTCTTTTAAAACGTCAAAACAGCTTATAATAATATTTCTGTTGACATCATCAGTACCAACTGCTTTATTTGACTTTAACAATTTAAAAGCACTTTCAAACTCTTCAAAAGACAAATCAAAAGAATTTAGATACGAGTTTAGAGGGTCATATGTTGCTTTTATTAATTTTTTAGGGTTCGGAATTTTTTCGGCTAGGTTTGGTCCTACAGATACAAAATATTCATTAAATTCAGAACCAATTGATTTTTGATCAAGAAGAAGATTATCATCTACTTTAATAACTAAGGGCAAAGATTGCGACATTTTTTGAGTGTTACCAGTAATTTTGTTTATTAGTTGCCAAGTGCGTTTTGAGTTTAGTTTGTATTTTTCAAGTAAATTAGTGAAATATATATTTTTTGAATTTATATACATATATGTATATATATATATATATATATATATATATATATATATATATATATATATATATATATATATTTATATACATATATGTATATGTATATATATATATATATATATTATATATATATATATATATATATATATATATATATATATATATATATATATATATATATATATATATATATATATATATATATATATATATATATATATATATATATATATATATATATATATATATATATATATATATATATATATATATATTATATATAAATATATATATATATATATATATATATATATATATATATATATATATATATATATATATATATATATATATATATATATATATATATATATTATATATATATATATATATATATATATATATATATATATATATATATATATATATATATATATATATATATATATATATATATATATATATATAAATTATTTCATAATTGAATTATAGATAATTCTTCGAATGAATGCGACAACAGAAATCTCACGTTTATTTGTACATCTAGTTTCAAGCAAAAACATTTATATATTGGACATTGGATTTAATACTAGAAAACCCTTGTGTTTTTTATAATTGAAGATCAAGTCATATTGGATTGTAAAGTAAAATTTATTTTTATTAATTGTTTGAAAATATTTATATAAATTGTTTAAAAATAGTTTTTTTATCTTTAATGCCATATATTAAAATATATGTTAAATATTTAGGAAAGTCATTGTTTACATTTTAATTTTGGCCTCAAGCAACTAGCTTGAATATCTTAAAAAATTATAATTAAGTTTTTAAAAATCTATTAAATAATTATATATTATATAAATATTAAATAATAAAAAATGTTCAAGAAGTCAAGAAAATATCCGTGCAATGTTAGTAATAATGCAAAACATTGAGCAGTTCGATGAAGAGCTATAACGTGTTCTTTAAAGAACCTTATTTTAAGATTCTTCCGAAGAACCTTCGCAAAGGGTTCTTTGAAGAACCTCTACGGGTGCTCCACGAGCGTCAACGCGAAGAACCCTTAAAGGTTATTTGAAGAACCATTCGGCTTAAGAGTGTATATATATTTCCAGATATCTGGTAGTAACTACTTTTCCTCTATATTGATCAAATTTTATGCTGTAATTAAGATCTATAACATGTGGTAAATTCCACCTATATACCATATAGAATTTACCCTAAAAAAACCCATGTGGGGCAAAATAATAATTCTCGTATGGTTTACATGTGGTAAAAACCACGAGTATTCCATGTGGGATTTACGATATATAATTCATGTTGGATTTTCTACCTATATCCCATGTGGGATTTATCATATGAAACCCATGTGGAATTTACTATTGCAGACTTTGTTTTTTAAATTGTACTAACAATTTAAAAAACAAAGTCTGCAAATTTATTTTTCCTCTGAAAAGTAGCACAAAAAAATGTTTATTTATTTTATGTGGTAAAGTTTCTTAAAACCACAAATTTTTTTATTCTAATTCACTTCCAACAAGGTTGCAAGCAACCGCTTTTATGTTTAGATGTTATTTTTAATACAAGGTTGTTGAGATCATTAATGTAGATAAGAAAGAAAAACAGGACCGAGGATAGAACCTTGAGGTACCCCAGAAGTTACTTGAAATAAAGAAGAGTGTTGGCCTTGGAGGATGACTTATCTCAAAAACTTTCCAAGGTACACCATATGAGACAAGCTTATGAAGAAGACTAGCATGTCAAACTTTGTCAAAGTTTTAGATATACCAAGAGCAATAGCCCGTGCCTCTCTGCTTCCATCTAATACCTGATAAAATCTTTCAGTCACAGCAGTTAGCCAGTCAGCCATAAAGCGAGAGGATTGAAAACCGTATTGGTTGTTTAATTTTTTAAATTAATTTAATTTTTAGTTATTTAAAAATTAATTTGATTTTTAATAACTTACATAACTTAAAGTTTACACGTTAGATATTTGCGTAGACTTTCGTTCACATGAATAAAATACAAATCATTAGAAATTGTGGTTTCTATAAAAGGCCTAATATTTTTGATTATTTTTATTTACGCATTTATTTATATTGTTTTATTTACAGATTTATTATTTATTATTTAAATATTTATTATATAAATTAACAAAACATAACAATTTTCAATAGTTTTTAATTGTATGTCTATTGAACAAACACGTCATCTAAAAAAATTAATCGAATTAAAAAAAGAAAAAAATACGCCACATGTATTAACTGGAAATCAATTTATTAATTGATAAGCTTTACGTGAACAAAAACCTAAGCTTGTACATAATAACAAAACAAAACAAATATAACAAAATATAATAATTTACCTGGTGCTGATACTTTTTCTAGAGCATTGTTAAAAATAGTCAAAATCTGAAGAAAAAGAAATTTATTGCATAGACATAAAATAACAAAACTATATAAGAAATAAAAGACTTGATAAAAGTGCTACAGATCAAATCTTAAGGAGATGTTGCCGCAATGCACTTTTCAACTAAAAGTAAAACTATAAAACTTGATATATGTTTTAGTATGTTTTAACATTACATAGTTTGAAGTTTACGTAAGTTAGATATTTATGTTGACTTTTCTTATAATAAAAAGTGCTGCGACTCTTTCTCGCTATATTACCTCGGTTGCAATGGCTGCCACGAGTACCGTGTCAAACACGCTCGATTGAGCATTGCTGTTAAATTCTTTAGTATATTATATGATACATTCCTTAATTCCTTAATAGTCAAATTCCTTAATATATTATAATATGATATTGTATGATATGAACTGATGATATAATTATTATGTTTAGAATTTAAATTAACATTACTTTTGCCGTACTTATTTTAATTATTTTATTTAAAATATATATAAATATTTTTATTTAGAATTAAAACAAAACTTTGCCTTTTTTAAAGTATTTTCTTTAAAGATGTTTGTCTAAAACAAAATATAAATTAGTTTTTGTTTTTGCTGTTTTTATTTTAATAAATTTATTTAGAAAATAAATAAAAAATTTGTTTTGCCGATTCTATTTTATTTAAAATATAATTAAAATATTTAGTTACTTTATTTAGAATTTAAATTAGTTATTTGTTATTAAATTAAAATGAATTAAATTTAAAATATAATTCATTTTAATATAATTTTGATGTTAATTTAATATTTTTTAACTTTCTGTATTTCAAATGTTTTTCTATTAATTATTATTAAAGTTTGACGAGCCATTAGAGCCGATCAAAATTGATCGGCCAGATTTAATTTTAGGAGATCAAAATGTCAATTTTTCTAAAAATAACCGATCATCGATTGTTGATCGACCGCTATTTCAAGCGCTTGGAGACTGGAGTTGAATGAGTTTTGATTCAAAATCGACGAGAAAGTGTAAAAGCCTCCATATCTTCTTGGTTCCAGAAGGTTAGGTAAGTGGCGCATTCATTAATACATAATATGAATAAATATGGATATAAAAATAAATGTTTGTTATTTATTTAGATGCTGGCGTACAATATCTTTAAATATTTATATAAACTTTAGCAATTATATGGTCTAATATTAGCAGAAAGAGAAGTTGATGATCAGATCAATGTCTGGTTAGATTCTAACAAAACAAGAAAATGAACCATAATCTATTTTTATATGGTATGATGGCAATTTTAAATTTGAAATAGTTCTATTTGCTAACGACATAACATAGTACTCTTGTCTTGTCAAAAGGTTTTTTCTTTTTGATCACTTATAACTAAAAACAACTATACCAATATTGTTGACATTCCGATATTGACAATTAACAACCCTCTCACTCTCAGACAAATTCCAAAAGCACATTGTTAATGTAGTTAGATCTGCTTTATCTACCACGCTTGAGCCATTTTCCCATCGTCATAAGGTTGCACTTCATTCTTTTTTCTGCAAATACTATCATGGTTGCTGCTCAAATAAGCTATCAACTCTAGTTTAATCAATTAAAACACATTCTTGCTTGGAATGTCATTCAGTAAATTCCCATTCTTTTATTGTATTTGTCCCTTCATGATATAAAATTTTTTATTTATCTAGTTTTTTTCCTCACACATTTACGTTTACCGACGACGTTTGCCAACGTTTGCTGACGTTAGCCGACAAATGTGTTTTTTGGATTTTAATTGGAAATATGAAATAGCATCCTAATATTGATACCAATATTTTATTAAACTGTCTTTACTTTTCTTATTGGAAAATATGTAAATATTTTTATTAATTTCTCAATGATAACTCTTCTCGTTTTTGCTAATCTATATGAGAACTACATATTATATTTAAACTATATGAACCACCCAGTTTTCATAATTTTTTGGAAAATATATTCTTGCTGTTTTGTAAAAGTATAGCAACTAAATTGGTAAAAATTTTGTTATCTTGGGTTACTAGAATTCGACAGTGGATGCAAAAAATACAATTTTTAAAAAAAGCTAACACATAGCAAAATAATAAGCTTAGGGTGGGTGAGAAAATTTTCCAAAAATTAAAAAATATCCCCGTCCCCCTGGTATTAAAAACTCAGAGTATTGTTATCTTTTCAAAATTTCCCTCTTTCTTTTTTTGTTTTTGTTTTTTGATGATAAACATTTTCAATCATTTTATTATTTTTGTTTTGTTTTTCAGTTTAGTTTCGTTAACTGACGCGTTAACGAAATCATCCTTTTTAATCAATTGATAGTTTTTTTTGTATTTTTAATATTAAGTTCTTTAATGTTGTGAATAAAAATATTTAACTTGGAGTCGTATTGATAAATGTATTAACAAGGTCTTTTAGGCGCTTCATTTACTCTCGCTTTATCATATTTATTTTTATTTTCATTTAAACGGTTTTAAATTATTTTTTTAGAAAACTTAAAGTTATGTCAGTTGCAATTAGAAGCGTTTTAAGCAAGTACTATCTTGATGGACGAGGAGGTGAAACTAACCCATTGATGACAAATAGTGATTCACGCACAGTGAGCTCAGAGATAGAAATAAACAAAAAATATTTGTTTGAGAAAGTCTATTCAAATTGTTTTTTCAAAAAATTAGATAAATTTGTAAATAAATAAAAAATTGTGTTTCTAGCTCATTTTTAATTGATAATATGTAATTTTGAAGTTGATTCCAAGGTTTTTGTGTATTTATAAAAGAAAATTCGGTTGGTTTTTATTCATATTTATTATTATTATTAAATGAATTTACCAACATGAAAATTGCTAAACCACTTATTTAAGAGTTTTTTTTAATTTGATATAGAATATTATAATATTAATATTTTTTAAATGATATAAAAAAAAAATTAAACGTTTTTATTTTTCTTTAAAAAAATCAGATTAAATCTGTAGTTTTTTCAAAAGTTCTAACTTGCCTCTAATGCGTTTTAACTTTGTTGCTCGTCTTTGACATTTTTCCAGGTCATTAATATTTTTTTATTACTTGGACGCCATCTAGGTGAGGTCTAACCAGCGATGTGTATAATTGCCTTACCATTTCAGTGTTAACATAAGTAAAGTTTGCTTAATCCACCCTGAATATTTATGGTAATTATAGTTTTTGTAACCTTTAAAATTTATATTTATAGTATTTATATTTATATTATATCTATGTTATTTATAGTTTTTGGCTAAAGGATTGTGTAAATAGAACTTTAGAAAATGTTAACACGAGAGTGGATTTGTAAATACGATTTAAAAGCTTCAAATTATTCAAATATAACCTAACCATCACAGGATTCACCTGTTTACTCTTCTTGAATATTTCTAAATAAACTAATTTTTTGAGCAGTTATTACCGTCATAAGCAGAAATAAAACACTCTAAATTTTAGTAATTTTTAAAATGCTAACAGTGTCTTAATGCAATATAGTTAACATATGTGAAACATATATGTTAAACATGTATTTTAAACATATATGGTAAACACATATCTTAAACATATATCTTAAACATATATCTTAAACATGTATTTTAAACATATATATTAAACATATATCTTAAACATATATGTTAAAATTTGTAAACTTGTTACTTTTGCTCAAGAAAATAAAAAAAGTTTTTTTGTTGTAGTAATAAGTAGATTGAATTTTAAAATAACATCTTGTTAATGGAGTTTAACATTGAAAAAATACACCGAAAACACAATTACTTTTTAATTATAATGTAAATAATCCATAAAAGTTAAATTTTTAAAACTATTTTACGCATAGTTCGAATTGTTAATGGCAACCATCAAGTAAGTTATGAACTTATTTTTTCAATAATAATTTTGAACATTTTAGGAACCTATTGGGAAACCCGTCAAAATCCAGTAGACCCAGACAAATACCATACTTATGTCAATGTTGGCTAAGTAGGGGAGAGTGTGTATCAAAGAGCTAGTTTTAAAAAAGGTATGAAAAAAAGTCATTTTGATTAACTAAAAAAAAAAAATTAATTTAAATAGTTACTTTATTGGGTAATATTATAAAATAAAATAAATTGGATAACAATGCCAATAATCTATCATACACCTATTTTAAAAAAAGAGAGAAATCAGCTCTTTCATAACATCCTGTCAATGAAAAAGCCACTCTGTGCTGTGAATGAGTCGAAACATTTTTTTCTAAAACTAACAAGTTTTTTAAGAGGAATAATCTGTTAACTTCTAAAAATAAGAACTTTAAGTTAGTTTTATTATAATCAATGAACTTTAAGTTATATAATTAAAATAAGATTGTACTTTAAGCAGTAGCGGATCAAGGGGGGGGGGGGGGCTAGGGTGCTATAGCCCCGGGCCCCTCAAATTTAGGGGCCCCCAAAAATTTCAGAGAACTTTTTTTTTTTTTAATCATTTTTAGGCTCTGGCCCATAAAAAGGCCTCTAAAAGCAAAAAAAGCCCGGGGCCCCAAGAAGTCTTAATATGCCACTGACTTAAAGTTACATAATTCTATGATAATCAATGGTAACAAATGAGAAAACAGCTTTAATAATAGTTTCACTTTATTATTAAAAAAATATCCTCATATAACGTCAACGTCGCTTTTCGTGGTAAATACTTGTGAAGACATGTTGGTTTTTTTAAAAAATGATAAATTAGAATAAAAAAATCAAAAGTAACAATATGCACTTGTAAAACGTTTATAAATAAATTTATATACACTAGTCATAAAAACAAATTGTTTTGACTACATCTTGACGATAAATGTTATCTAAGAATCATAGTGATTATAAGACATTTCACATATATTAATTATACTAGTGATATATGAGTGAATACAATAATACAAAATAAGTTTTGACAAAGTATTAGGAAGTTTGAAACAAAAATAAATTTAATTATTAAAAAAAAAAATTTTCAGCTTTAGTAAAAACTTTATTAGTTCTTGAATATATTTTATAAGATTCAATTGCACTACGGCTAACGACTTCAGGAAAAGTCATTCATACAATTAATTTCAATAGAATATGATCAATGAAGCACTACGAAAAATAATAAAGTCCTTATTGCACAAAACTATTATTTAATTTTAAAAAAAGCTAAATAAATAGAAAAAGCCGGCTTTTTCATAGTATGAAAAAGTGGCTCTTTCAAAAAAATGTAAAAAAAATAACCTGAAATTAAACATTACTTACCGAAACTTTATTCTAATATTATATGTGGAAAAGTAGGACACACACACACACACACACACACACACACACACACACACACACACACACACACACACACACACACACACACATATATATATATATATATATATATATATATATATATATATATATATATATATATATATATATATATATATATATATATATAACAATGCAACATATATGTTTTATCAAATAATAAAATACTCTTTATCTTAAAAATAAATATGTAAACCCCAAAAGAATTGCTTTTTATTTTCAAAATTTTTAGTGCACCCTTACGACGCTATAAAACCTGGCTCTTTCATACACACTCCCCTAATTAGAAATTTTATTCAAATTTTTTTTTTTTCTTTGTTGTAGCAAGATAGTTTGTTCTAATATTTATTTTAACATTTTCATGTACAATTTTTTTTTGACATTAGATGTTACAATCGCCACTACTTTATGTAGTCACTAAAAGTTCTTATATAAGTAACAATAATAGCTACCACAAATTATAGAATTAACCAAGCGATAAACAAATCTAATTTATGGGTATGGGTAATTAAGGGTATAGCAAAAATGATTACAAAGGTCAAGTAATATATTCGTCTTCCATTATTACCCTTCCCTCAACCCTCGTAAAAAAAAAATTTAAATGAACCCAACTTCTTCTGCTTCCAAAACTAATCCTAACACTCTTCGTCTGATCTCACGAATCATTGGATGATCATCCGGCTTTGGAGCTCCTCCAACTTCTCTTTCATGCTTTTTAGTTATTTCAGCAATTGATCTCCAACCTCCAAAATCAATCTGAAATGGACTAAGCACATTTGACATAATTGTCAATCCAAATGATAGCATAACATCTCTTCGGATGTTAACTTCTGCTTCAAACTCTTCAAAACTTATTTCAACTCCTGCGTCTTTTGCATATGATACGAAGACTTTAAAATAGTCTTGAAGAAGATTTCGTAAATGAACCTTTCTGAACTCCCGATCGGTTGAAATAGAGAGCATGTACCAAATGTCCAGAGCTGGATGATAAAATGACATCATTTGGTAATCAATCAAGGTGACATAGCTCTCATCCTCATTGAAGAGCATGTTGTTGCACCAGAAATCTCCATGACACATGGTCAAGATCTTGGATCGGTACTTTTCAATTTTTGAATCCATGCCATATATCAGATTCTGGAGCATTTGCGTTTCTCCATAGGTAATCCATTTTTGAATAATAACCTCGGAGATATTTTCATTCCTAAGAAGAGATGTAACAATTTTGGTGCAAGTCTTTAGAAGACGATTTAAAATGATATCTTTCATCGCGATGCAGCATTCTTCAGCATATTCTGGTTTGAATGTTTTGGCAAAATCTTTTTGTGTTTTGGCCAAGTGTACCCATTTGAGCCAAACTCCATGAAATCTGGCTAAAGTTTCAAGAGCCACTTTGGCTTGGTTGTAGCTAAGAAGACGTCTTTTATCTAATAGTTTCATTGGTTTGTTCCCCTGAGTAAGATTCTTTAAGATCAATATTCCTTTCTCTTCAGGAAGAACACAAGGCCAGAAGAGAAAACTACAATACTTCTCAAAGAATCTCTTTCTGCCAATCATATAATCTAAATAGTTGGTGTATGAGTAATAACAGATAGGGGAAATGGTCAAAATTTCTGGAAATGTTTTAACAAGCTCTGGATAGGCCAAATGATACCAAAAGGTTTCTTTAGAAAATGGTTTTGTAATTACTGATAGATATCGATGGTTAAAAACTTTTTTTTGATACCTTGACAACTACACTAATTGTTTGATCTGATTTACCTAAAATTAAACAAAAAATTCACGATTGATTGAGAAGATTTATTACTTACATGTATTGATACTTAAACTATTATTTTAATAATAACTTGAAAAACTTTCGTGTGTTTTTTGTAAAATAAAAATTGTGAACCTGTCACCTAAGATGTATTTATATGCTTACCCTACATATAAGTAAAATAATACATATAAGTACAAAAGATTACCATTTAAATCTGACTATAGTATAACATAGCAAGGTGGAATATAAACTAGCTGGAGGGACAACAAAGCAGATAATTTTTTAAAAATTGTGGTCTTAGCTCAACATATTGAGGCGAATTCGTAAAACTTAAAGCAAATTTTTTTTTTTTAATTCTAAAAAAAAAACTTAAATGAAATAAATGTAAACTTGTTTTTGTTTAATACAACTTTTTCTGTTTTTGAATTCCATAAACAAGATGTCAGCAAAGTTGGTGAAGCTCAGAACATATATTGGAAAAAAGTGGAAGCCTCTTCTGATGCTAATCTAGTTTATGAATCATTTTTTAAAACTTTTTATGAATTATATGAGAGTGACCATTTTGTTTTATCCACATTTACTGACAACTTATTCATTTTGAACCGTTCACAAGTTTTCTCTAATTCGATGTTCATTGTTTGAAATAATGTTAGAATACATTTATGGGATGAAAAAAGATTAGTGTCATCAGCAAACATGACAGCCATGTTGCGTGTTCTGTCGAGTTATTTTTTTTGAACCCGAATTGATTGATATATAGTATATTATTTAAGGAAAGATAATTATAAATAACGTTATATAAATTCTTTCTAAAACTTTAGAAAAAAAAGAAAGAACAGAAATTGGGCGATAATTTATAACATTGGTTGGATCGCCTATCTTAAAAACTGGATTGACTTTAGCTATTTTTAAATGATCTGTAAATATTCCCTATATATGTTATATGAATATATATGTTTTATTGAAGAATGAAAAACTTTAAATAGTACATCTTTTAAGGGTTCATACGAGTCGATAACAACATTACTATTCAATCCGTCGTGACCAACGGATTTATTTATTTTAAGCATTTTGAAAGACTTTTCGAATTTTTCAAATGAAAGTTCATAAGATGTTAAGGTTGACGATATCGGAAAATCATAAGCATCTATTTTGTTAACCACAAAAGGAATATTTTTGTCTAAATTTGGACCAACTGATACAAAAAATTTATTTAATTCATTATCTATTACACTTTGATCATAGGAAATTTCATCGTTAATTTTAATAGCTTTAGGCAATACGCTTGTTTTAGTTTTCTGTGTGCCTGTACTTGTAGGAAGCACTCATCAAAAATTCAATTAAAAAAGAATGAAGTAATCTAACGCCAATAATAAAAGAAAATCTGGTACTTCAAAAATACTAAACACCAGAGCGAGAAAATTCAACGGACACCCCTTTAGTAAATTCGTAAAAAATTCAACGGGCACCTCTTTAGTAAATTTGTAAAAAAGCTTATACAAAACAAATTTCGCTAAAAACCATACCTTAACCACGACCCATAACGTAAGACTCAAGGTTTAGCTTAGGGTTTGGTTAGGGTATGGTTTTTAATAAAATAAACTTTATTGTTTAGTTCGGAAAAAAAGAGAAGTTTTCAATAAATGTTATGGGACTTACAAAAAGGGGTGCCTGAATTACACGTCCGAAAAATTAATAAAAAAACCACTGTTATAATCTCACTTGTAACAGTAATAATTGTAAAAAAATAAATACTTGAACTAAATTTAACATAATACTTGAAGTAAATGAACAAGGTAAAATTATCTTATGTATATTATATAAAAAACAATATACCTGAGATAATTTTACCTATATATATATATATATATATATATATATATATATATATATATATATATATATATATATATATATATATACCGCTAAAAATATATATAAGTATTAAAATAATACTTTTGTGAGAGAACAAATCAAATAGTGCATGACTAATTCAAAGCAGAGACTGTAAAAAAAACGAACAAACAAGATAATAATCTTATGGTATATATTAAAAAAAAAAAAAAAAAAAAAAACTTCTACTAATAATAGTAATATAACAGACAAACTCAACACGGCGACTAAAGAAACAAAAATTAAGGTCATATAACATCGATACAAACGTTATGGGGGCATAACCACCCCCGTAACGTTTGAAAATTTCGGAAATTTACGTTTTACAGAACCGAATTTTGTGCTAAAAAACTGTTCCACATTTTTTAAATTCCGTTCAGAGTTAGTATAATAAAAACATTTTTTTAATATAATGTTTTAAAATTTGGTATCCCATTAGTTATTTTTTAAAAAGATGAATAGCTTGACTTTATATTAGTGCTTTCATTTTTAGAAATTACTTACATTTGTATCAAGTTTATTAGTCAAAAAACTATGCTGTTAATCAAAAACTATGTTGTTGATCGATAATAAAATTAATATCGAAGGAATGTAGTACGTATTTTCAAATTTATATGCGTTTGTAGATATATCTATTTTCTCACTACCTGCCAAACTTTTCATGCTCAGATAAGATACATATTTACAGCGATTCTAAGCCTTATATAGAAGAGGGTATCAACAAAAACTCTATCCAAAATCGTATTTCAAAGTTTCCATAAATTCTATATAAGAATAAGCATATTTTTACTTAAATTTTGCCCTTAATAGTACATTAATAATCATTTTTATAGTTTGCGCCAACTTACCGTGGGGTGGGGTAAGTTGGTTAATTTTTTTTTTTTTTTGAGGCCTCAGAAGGGTCTTATGAAAATTTTTTGTACAATGAATGCAAGTTAAAAGTGTTACCTCTTTTCATATTCTTTAAAACTGCGCTTTTATATTTACAAAAATATTTGCTGTTTGGGCTTTAGAGCTCCAAGAATAAAAACGGAGGCAACTAACCCCGGTCTGCGCTACACACTAAAGTTTGTTTTGCGAAATTTTTTTGCGAAACTATTTCTTTTATTTACGCTTAAGTAACGTTTTTTTTTTGCGTTGTTTGTTTTTATAACTTTTTTTAATAATTCCAATTATTAACGCTAAACTCATGTTTGTTTTTGATAATAAATAAATAAACCGACAAAAAAGTAAGTTTCTAAAAGAGTTGAATAAAAAAATAAAAGAGTTACAAACTGTAATTAGTGGTGATGAGTTAAAAACTTACATGGAGGATGTATTTTTCCAGAAAAATAAAGTTTTACACTTTTAATTTAAATTTTGATATTATTTTATTAAAGATCTTTAAAAAAACTGATTTGAAGCAGTCTATGAAACTTTTTTAAGTAAAGTGCCAAACACATTCTTTTCTTCCTCCAACTCCTTAAAAAAGACCTAAAAAAAGTGAGGGTAAAGTGAGACCTCTGCTCAGTCTCAATCTAACCACGAGGAAGATAATGTGAGTAACCCTCTGTTGTGTAGTTCAGCTGTTTCAGCTAGTTATGCCACATGTTCATCAACTTTATCCTTGGACATTTGTAGCCAAAAACCTCAGGAAGCATCAAAGAAAGACAAAGAGCCTGAACGTAGTTTAAATCCTAGTTGAAACAGATCATATTATCACAATTACAATAGATGTTTTGCACAGGAGTGACACTTGCAGATCCCTTTCTAATGACTTGTCCGCTTGACCAAAATGGCTGGCGGTAAGAGAGATTCCAATACCTTTCCTGAAGAACAATAAAGAATATCTTAAAACCAAAAAATGTTATTTCTCAAATTAATTTCAATACAGGGTAGCAAGAAATGGTTAATAAGTGAAAAGGATTTGGCTTATTTACTCTCCAGAAACTGAATCAGCTTATTTTCTACCTTGTCATCTGTTTGATCCAACTCCAAAATCATGTTTGGGAAAAAAAGAAAGCTTCAACAACTGGAAAGAGTTCACAGAGCAAGCCTAAATGCATGAGACATCTATATCTCATTTCAGTTGTTTTGAGAAATGGATTGAGGCAACAAACAGGATAAAAAATGAACAAGCTGTCAATAAAGATTTTATCCAAAAAACTAATAATGAAGCAAAAAGGTACAGAAGCATTTATAAGAGAATAGTGTTAGTGATTATGTACTTGGCGGATGTAATATTGCATTCCTTGGAAGCTCATCAAAGCTGTAAACCAAAAATAAACTAAATAATAGAACTTCCTTGGTCTTATTCAAACACTTGGTTAATTTTAATAAAATTTGGATGAAGCATTTACGGCAAATTGAAGATAGAGAAAGACGTTCACGAACGCTAAGTGTTAATATTCAAAACGAAGTCATTAACTTCTTAGCTTTGCATGTAACAGAAGCTAATGTAAACAAGGTAAATTTTGGAAAGTATGTTTTAGTTATTTTGAATTCCAGACCGTTGTCAAAAAGACCACACTTCTCTAATCATCTGCTATGTTCATGAAGAAAATGAAGCAATAGTCATTGTCCAAGAAAGCTTTATTGGGTATGCAGTGTGTGAAGAGTCGACTGGTGAAGTTCATTCTAACCTTCTAATTGTAGAAATAAAGTCTAATAGCCTAGACCTAAACAACTGTAGGAGTCAAGGCTATGACAACGGGTCTAAACGGGTCTAGGCCACACCTTTAACGTAATTATATCAAACGGAGCTAAATCATCGATGAAGTCTATATTACTGTTTAAAGTTATTAGAAGAATCTATACAAAACTTTCAAAAAAGATGTTTTTCCGCCCCTAATTGACACAATTGAATCATCTTTAAAAACAGAATGGGTACGTTCTCCAAATACGAGTCAAAGTGGGAATTCCTACTTGATTTGAAAAAACTACTACCAAAGGACAAACTGCATATCATTCAGATATAAATGGGGAAAAACTGTACACTGAACATCTACACGTCTGTTTGATTACTAATGTTTTTGAAAAGTGTTATGAACAGAAGTTGAAGGCAGAAACGAAACACAATTACCATTAGAAGCACTCAATATAATCATAAACACCTTTTTACTAATCTGTGGATAGCGCTACGCATATTACTGACAATTCCAATGACAGTGGCCAGCAGTAAACATAGTTTTAGCAAGTTGAAGTTAATTAAAACCTATTTATGATCACGCGAAAAAGATTGTTGTTGCTTGCGATGCTCTCCATTGAAAACGGAGAGACGAAAAAAATCAACCTTGGAAAAATAATTTAAACAATTTTTGGAGAAAATCTCAAAGTATACCGTTATAAATTTACCCATTTGTCACCAATTTAAGTTTTTATTTAGAATTACATTGTTTGAAATATTTGATTTACCTTTATTTGATTTACTTAACAATTGCTATTCTTAAAACGAATTGAAACGATTGGTAGGTAAGTATTAAAGTTTTAGTGGCAGCACAAAAATATGTATACACATAGTTATATACAAAGGAGTAAGCGCCACAACTACGTTTGCCCCGGTAGCCACCAACCCTAGGGACGACCCTGGATGCATCACAACCTGGAGTGAATAATATTATAATTTTTTTCAAAGTGATTTGTATAAAATATTTGATACTTAACGGGGGGTTTAACAAAATAAACAATGGGTTAGTAGTTGCATTACACTTTTTCAAATACTCAGAAGAATATCTAAATATTTTTTTAGTTGTGATCTGTAAAGTGTTTGAAAATTTAATATCGTATAAAATTATGGATTAGAATCAACGTTTTTTTTTGGCAGTAGTCTTCTTCAATGAATTCTTTTTAAATCAGATTCAGGATACTGTATTGCACTAAATTATCTATTGCCAGGTTTGTCAACATTAGTAAAAAATTATAGTTGAACAGCAATTTTCTTTTGTTGCTAAACAGTTGTTTAGCAACATAAAAGCATCAATTATGTTAAGGTCTTTAAGTTCATTTTTATTTTGCAGATGATAGTTTTCATAGAATACAAAGATACTAAGAATTAAAATGTTAGTTTTTTTTTAGATAATCCTAAAGCTTGAGCTCTAGTAATATTTTATCTGAATAATGGTCAGTTGACGTTTCTTCAACGGTATTTATAACTAAAACTAATCAAACCCATTCAGATTTTATTAATTAAACTCAAGCTGTTCATCTTATTTTAGATAAATTACAGAGTTATAAAAAAATTATAATCAATGATAAACTTTTTTGTAAATGAGTATCTCTTTGTACTGAAAAAAAAATATATATATATGTTATTCCAACGCAGAAAATATATCAAATCTAATTATGATAAATAAATCTAATCTAATTATGGCATCCCAGTGGTGTTCAAGGAATGTATTAATTCTATGTGCCTGGCATGGTATAAATGGAATTAAAAAATTAAGAAGATTAGTTCATTTTTGTTGTGTATCATTTAATTTTCCAGATATACAACTATATGCTTTACATATCTTATATTAGGAGATGAAGGGGGGGGGGTACGTGGTCCAAAATTAACTTTTTTTGGATTTGTGCATTTTAACCACTTTTTTTTAATTTTTTATGCTGATGTTGAATTACTCAATAATTTTTTTTTTTTATTACAAATATTTATCCAGCTACAATTTCAATAAAAGCGATTGTTTTGGAAAGACAACCAATTATTTCATTTAATGTAACATTAAATGAAATCATTATTATTATAAAAGTAAAATCAATGGAAAATATTTTCTTTTCATTTTATCAATAAAATACATAATCATAATGTGTAGTTACAAATACAACAAAAAACTAGGCTCTTCCATAGTGCTTTCTGAAAGACTCTTAATTTTTCTTGAAGCACACAACAAAAATTATCGTAGATGATTGTAAACTGTTGTGAGGACCTTTTAAGTAGACACTTTGTGGATTGTTATGAGGACTTTCCAAGTTAAGTAGAATTTAAATTATTAGCTTATTCTTCTGTAGACATAAGACGGCGTTTTTTGTTGTTGTTGTTTTTTTTAGAAGCCAGTCGGTACATTTTAAGGATTCACCCCCCCTCATTTTATTCGTAGATTTGCCTTTGTTAACATTTATGATAACTAAAGCAATTACGATGAGTGCCACGTTGACGCTTAATGAAGTTTAATGTTATTTGAAGTTTAAGTTGAAGTTGAAGTTGAAGTTTAATGTTATTTGTAATTGTTTTATAAATTGCGAAAACTTGACTAAAAACGTAATACATTTTTCCGTAGTTGCATCTTTTTTATAACCTATAATACTTTCTTCTTTTCTGTTGAAAAAATATATAGCTAAATTTTGCAAAACTATATTTATGAGAATGATATTTATGAGTTTAATTAAAATCACCGTGTAAAAGAGTTTAAGATCTCCTCTACTCTTTCTTTTTTTAATAAATCTACCGTTGCGTAGTTTATGGAGGATCCCTTAAACAAAAAATATAGTATTTTGGAAACCCCCTTTCTCCTACTTGTGTATGTTTTCTTTTATAATCATTGTCAAGTATGCTATTACGACACTACCAATTTTGTTCTCTTTATTTTTTTGTTTTTATTTACATTCATTGTAACTTCTAACAAAATAAATTTACACCTTACCCAGTGGGCACGGGAGGTAAAAAAGACGTCCTTTGGACGTTTAATAAGCGTCCGTCCGTCCCATTTAAATTCTAAACGTCTTTTGAACGTCTTTTTCGCGTCCAATCAGAATGCTTTATTAAAACAAAATTAATTTACTTAAAACACGTTATCTTTAAGACATATTTATTTTTGTTAATTAAAAACGCATTTTTAATACAAATGTAGAAGAAACTTTCAAGTGTAAAAGAACTTTCAAATGTAAAATTACATTTTTTTATGGCATCTCGAAATAATGAATATAAATAATGTTCTGGTTATTTGAAAGTTTTAGACATTGCAGAATTTCATGCAGACTCATTTTTTTCAAAAGGAAAACCTATTAATGATACAGAGTTTATCCTGATAATTTACTAGAATTCAATATCTTTAATTGACAACTTTTAGATTGTGCTATTAAAAATAATCGGACCAGTATATTAGTTAATGAATTTCTTGAAATATTAAAAATCCAAGGTTTGAAACTTCGCGAAGATGCAAGATAAATTTTTGAAAACACCTAGAGGTATAACTAAGTTATACCTAGAGGTGTTTTTAAAACTTTCACTGCATTTTCGAGATTAACAGTTATTCACTGTTCCTAAAAAGTGTGGTAATAGTTACTCTTATTTTGAAACACAGGTAAGTATTAAAATCATATTTTTTTTGAATTTTATAATGGTTTACCTTAATTTAAATTCTCTAGTAAACAGCTATGACCAATATTAGCTTGCTTTAATTATTTTAATATTTTTATAGTTGGCATTTATTGTAGTGAAACCAAGCCTATTTCACTAAATACCTATTTTTTTCTTTAAGTCAAGTCAATAATGCATAATGGTTTTCTATACAATAAAAAATATAAATTAAAACTATATAAAATTTTATAATGGTTACAACTTTTGTGAAAAGTGTTCTGTTCATGAAACTTATGGAGGAATAATTGTGTTTAATAAATAAATTTTTTACACACCTATCTCTTATATGAATCAACTGTTACGACTGGTTTAGTTTTTTTAAATTAAACTCATTTGAATCTTTTCCACACAAAAAAAATCACACAAAAGAATAAAGGCATTAGTTGTACCAGACATTCCAAAATCTGTTTTAAATAATCCTTTGAAGATAGATGTAATTAATTTCGCTATTTTATTTTTCGTTCTTTAAAAATTCAAAATAAATAATTATAATTAAAATCAATATTTATATTTATTATTTAATAAAATTTATTTTTTAGTAATTTATCCAACTTCAAATTAAAATGAGAAAAATGTATTTTAAGATGGAAAAGAGATGATATTTTTTTCTATAAGAATGAATTTTTGATTATTTATGGTTTTTAGTTTTAACTTTTAGTAAAAAAATATATATATATATAACACAGCAAACATTTAAAGAGGAATTTCAGTGGGCCTATATAGGCTTTGTATGTGGTTGCAGTTTTCATCATCATATACTTTATGGGCCATTAGTGGCAGCAGCCAAAAGTGGATAACAGGAGTAACCACTATATCACTTGTTGGAATGTTATGATAACATTCCAATATAATATAATTATATATAGTTCCGATAATATCGGCTGGCCACTTTAGTAATTTACTAAAGTGGCCAGCCGATAGCCGTAAAGGGTGAGTTAAACTCCATTTAACTGCTCAGAATGCCTTTATAGGTCCACTGAAAATCCACTATAACAATGTTTTCTGATAAAGTTTGCTTATAAACTTAATTAAAAATTTATTTATAAACATATATAATATATATGTATTGGTCAAAAAAACTTCTATTATGTATTTAAGTCTTTATTTTTTGAGTTAAATTTTATACAATATTTCAAGGGAGTTGTCAAGTATATAGTTTATATAAGTATATATATATATATATATATATATATATATATATATATATATATATATATATATATATATATATATATATATATATATATATATATATATATATATATATATATACATACATACATATATACATATATATATATATATATATATATATATATATATATATATATATATATATATATATATATATATATATATATATATATATATATATATATATATATATATATTAGTTTATTTTATGTAATATGCTTAATGAATTTTTATAAGTAACAACTTCTTTAATTCATTCAGATCTTTCGAATTGGATAGTCTGTGATTCAAAATTATGCTTTGATATAGTCAATGATAAATCTTTAAGTTTTACAAAGATTAATGTAAGTATTATTTTTTCTTGTAATAATTATCTTAAAAATTATTTTAATTATTAATTAAATTAATTTTTTTTTCTTTATAAACTTATTTGTTTAATACTCCACAATACTCAAAATAGCTTACTCGTCAGTTCAGTAAGAAAAAAAGATCATTTAAGTTTTCCCTTTCGAAGGACAATAAAATTTTAAGTTTATTCCTTTCTTCTCTATTTTTACATACTAATCTTTACAATTTTTTTTACATACTAATCTTTACAATTTTTTTTAGGTTTAAGACTGTTTACCTGATTCCTACAGCAAAAAAGAACTTTAAAATGCTGTTGGCAATAATCTAAAGCCCACACCTAATCTAAAAGAAGGTGAATGACGTCAAGTGTTTGAACAGTCGATTCTTTGAAATTAACAAGTGGTTCATCCACTTTACACAAGTTTAAAAAAATTATAATTTATAAAACATAGGAAACATATATTATTAAAAAGTTTACGCAAATTTTTATTTTTTACTTATTCTCAAAAAGTTAAGTGAAAACATAAGTTTTAATCTTATGTTTGAGTAAAGCCATGTAAAGACAAGGATTATAGACGACGTACTGAGGACGGCTAAATTAGGTTATTTAAAAACATCATTTGGCGTGTCCATTTAGCACTAGTTCTGAACGTCCTAAATTCACATCTTTTAGACGTCTGAAAAACACGTCTTTATTCCGTCCTAAAAAGACGTCCTAATTACGTCCTAAAAAGACGTCAGCTGGCGTTGCCAATTAGAACTTGTTCTGGTCATTTCGACGTCATATGGACGTTGCCGTGCCCACTGGGTAGTAAAATTGTTCAGAAAACAGATAAAAGAGCAGTATGAACCGATAAATAAAATCGGACAATGTAGCCGCATTTATATCTGATTATACATGTTACTCTAAGTGTATTTCAATAATCTGTTCTTACCGCTCTTTTATTCGAATTCTGGACAATTTTACATAATAAGTTGCTTATAGAATGTTGTTAGATACTGACTAACATTTTATAATTGAAACGGTTTTAAATTATTTTTTATTATTGATAACGAAAACTTTAGTCTAAATATAATGTATAAAGTAACATTTCAAAAAGAAATTCATTTTGAATTGCCGACTAACTCAACTTATTTTTTGCCGGCTAGGATTTAGTGTTTAGAGATGTATATCCCTCTCTCCCCCTTTTTTTTTTTACCTAACTAGGTTTTGAATTGGCTTTAACTTGGAATAGTGGCTAACATTATGTGCTAGAATTTAGGTGCACATAGTTCTATTCATAAAAGCGATGACTAACTAAAGCGACAATAAGCCCCAAAAAACCCACTCCTTTTTTTCTGCCAACACTGAACATTATGGGCATTTAACTTTATCTCTTGAATACAACTATTAAAAAAAGTTATATGCAAAACCTCTTGTCGCTATTTTTTTTTCAAGTACAACTTTATGTTTTTGAGACCATTGCTAAATGATAACAATTTTATTTTATTTACACCAGTTAACTTTTGTTAGCGATTTTCTTTTTTTTGTACCATCAAATTGATTTTACGTGTGAACGCTACAAGGAACATTTTGTAAAACACTTTGTTCCAGAAACATTTTTTCCGGTATAACGTTCCGTCAATCGTCACTAGTGTGAACATGGTTTCATTATTCAGCATAGTTACATTATTTAAAATCCTATTGTCATGTGTAGCTCTAAGAGTGTTCACAGAAATAACATTAACGACGTCAGTAGGTAGTCAATTTCAGTAAAAAGATGTTCTGTTTGTTAAAAAACAATGCCTTGTCAAAAAACTAGTTATCTCGCAATTATAGATTATTTTATGACCTCTTACTGATTGATAACTTCTTGGCAAAATTTCATTGAATAAACTTCCTTTTTCAATTCCATTCAATAACTTGTATATTTGAATCAAGTCACCCTGAATCCGACTTACTACTAAAGTAGTGAGCCCCTTTTTATTTAACCTTTTCTAATAACATTTTTTAGTGACGATATTATTCTTGTGTCACGATCCTGTACCTTTTCTAAGAAAATAATGTCATTTTAAAGACATGGAGACCACACAGATACAGCGAACTCAATTAACGGTCTTACAAAAGTTGTGTATATATAATTTTTGGTAATTCACTATTTAAACCTAAAAAGGTGTTCCTCAACATACCCAAAACTTTATTTGCTTTATTTGCACATGAAGTTATTTGATTTTTCCATTTTAAGTCAATGGTAAATACTACACTAATCTTTTTTTTCAGTGACCGTGGTGCTTGAAGGTATATTTTACATAAAACAATTTTATTAAACACTTCTCAAAATTTAACTTTAATAGTCATTTTTTATTTAGATCATTTTGCAATCAGCTAACACTTGCTTCATAATCAACCTTTGACAGTACTTTTGCATCATCGGCACACATTTATTAATTTTGCATCATTTGCATACATTTTTATTTGCCTGAGTATTTTGTTAAATATTAACAAAGTACTCAGGCAAATCATTATTATAAATAATAAATAGTAAAGTACCAATAACAGTGCTTTGCGGAACACCACAAAATATATACTTCCGAAATGAGAAAGTTTCTTCCATGACAACTCGTTGCCTTCTATTTTTATAGAAAAGCTAACGGTTAGCACGAAAACTGATAATACCAACTTAGCAGATAAGAACATCACTTATATGGAGTGAAAGAGTTCACATTAAAGGATCCTGTGATGCAAATTTTGAAACCTTTTAAATTTTGTCCGAGAAAAATAGTTTAATTGCAATGCTCAAATCAAGTCAAATTTTGACTTTATAGTGCAAAAATGAAAAATACCTGTAGAATGAGAACCATTAAATAGTTTAATAAAAATCGGTGCAAAAGTAGCATATGGCGACTCTAAACTCTGGATAAGATTTCAGTCGGATTGGTTTACTGGATAAAAAATTATGACGGTTTTAGTTTATGTTTTGTTAGATTTTGCTACTTAGACCCCAAAGCGTTACCGATTACTCAATTTCTATTTTAATTGTTTTATTGCTACATGTACCATTTTCATTTTATCGACCAAAAATTGATATGTAGCTATGTGTCGTTAGCTACATATCGTAGCTTTGTAGCTAGCTACAAAAAATCTACAAATCTATAGCTACTTGGTAGCTACATATCAAAATTTTTTTTAGACAATGATTTTTATATATGATTTAAGCTATAATAGCCAGTGGGTTTTTAGCTTATTAAGGTAGCTGTCCTAGCAGCCAAATCGCTGTCTTTATCTTTACAAATTTTGATAGCTTTTCACTAACTTAAAAAAGCTAGCAATCCTCGTGGCCATATCGCTGTCTTTATCGTTATGATTATAGCTAGCTGTTCGCTAGTCGACATTGCACTGGATGACTTCCTCATTGCGTGAAAATATCAGCATTTTTTAGGGTTTTATACCTTTACTGTCCTATGAAGAATAACAATTTTATATTTTTTAAATTTCCATAAAAATATTAATTAGAAGATTGAAATAAACTAAAATCATTAAAAACTTTCAGCATAATTTATACCAGAATTATTACTATGTTCTAAATAAATATATAGTATACCACAACCTTCGGATACCATTCCCAATTTATTGCATTTAAAGCATTATTATTGTTCTGAGTTTATGAAGACACTTTTGTAACAAGTTTTCATCAGATAAATTAATAAATATTGATTTGATTATGTCCATAATTACAACAGACTGACCTGGGTTTTTTTACACATGTTCGTTTCAACAATTTTGTCAGGTTAAAATTTGAAAAAAAAATTAATAAAGAATTATACTCAGGTTATTTGAAAAAAAATTGATAAAGAATTCTCAGGTTATATTTAACATCAATATCTAAAAAAGATTATTAGCTTTTAGTCTACTTTACAACGCATAACAAAAAATTAATTAACATTTCAGTACAATGAATTGGTTTGATTAAACAATTTTTATGGAAAAAAAGAAGCTAACTAATACTCACCCGGTGGGAAGTCGGCTAGCGAATAGCTAGCTATAATCGTTACGATAAAGACAGCGATTTGGCCACGAGGATCGCTAGCTTTTTTAAGTTAGCGAAAAGCTATCGATTTTTGTAAAGATAAAGACAGCAATTTAGCAACGAGGACAGCTAGCTTAACTAGCTGAAGATCCACTGGCTATTGTACCTAGCGTCATATCGTAATAAAACCGTTGTCTAAAAATTTTTGATATGTAGCTATCAACCAGGTATAGATTTGTAGATATTTTGTAGCTAGCTACAAAGCTACGATATGTAGCTAGCGACACATTGCTACAAAATCGCAATGTTTAAAGTTCAATTATTTTCATAGTTATAATAGACTCAACACTAAAAATCGAATTTTTAAAGATGTTAAAGACATTTGCAAAAAATAAAATAAGAAAAAAAAAATCGCTAGAAAATCGCTATAGAGCTAGCTAGTCGCTAGCTAGTCGCTAGCTCATTTCCCACCGGGTAAAGCTTTTTTCAGATAATCATTTCTCTAGCAGTTCAATAAGAATCAATATGTATATTACTATGATGTATTATTATTATAGATGTATTATTACTGCTATTAAATTGCTAAAGAGCAATACCCATTAAAACCTTATTATAATTTATATATATATATATATATATATATAATATATAATATAATATATATATATATATATATATATATATATATATATATATATATATATATATATATATATATATATATATATATATATATATATATATATATATATATATATATATATATATATATATATATATATATATATATATATATATTTAAACAATTTAAAATGTATTCTGCAAAGAACAGAGCAATTACAAATTAGTAGAAAATCACTTAGCAAAATTTTTTCTCATTTAACACTGTGTTTCATCAATAAAAACTCATCAGAAATGAATGATCAAATTAATAAAACTTCAATGTATTAAATTTTAAAACCAAAAATTAAATTACAGGAAGTCATATGTCTTAACTACTGCAACTTTTCACACATTTATGTAATTTGCTGACACTATTGTAAAAAGAATTCTTTAGAAATGATTACTTAAGCTTTTTTAAAAAATAATATATTTTTTTCAAAGGGGAGTTAATGTAACTATTATTTGAGCTCACTTATTTTTATAGTTTTTAAGGAGAAACTTATTTTCGTGGCTGCATTTAGAAATCAATTCCGATTTTTTGTTTAATAAACATTCTTGGTTTGTATGTGTAATAATTTCAAATTTTTCTTGTAGACATAGTATGTATTTTTTGGAAATATTGTTATATGCAGGCACTGTTTTAAGGATGGACCAATTCAGTGTAAAATCATCAATATTTTTATCTTTTAATTCCCATATATATTTTGACAGCATGGTGTCTTTTGAATACTTTTTATTTTTAAAAGATTGCTTATGATTGGCAAAACGTTTTTACCATTCACCTTCTGTTATGCCAATATATTGTTTATTAGG